TTTGGAGGGAGTGTTTTTTTTTTTTTTTTCTATAGGATGCACACACTCACCAGACAGATGGAGAAACAGAAAGCAAGAAGCCATCCCCCAGCGGAAATGGCAAAACCACAGTCCCTTCTCCTCCATTTCCCTCTCAGGATTTGGGGTACACATGCACATGGTTCTGGTGTGAGTTTTAAGATGCTGTGTCCAGGACTTGAACCAAGGTTGACTATGTGAGAGTCCAGCATTATGGCATCTGCTGGTTCCTTATTTGTTTATTTTTAATTATTATTGCCAGGTTTGTGTGTGCACTGGAGAAAGAGAGAGAGAAGAAGGAAAGCACCCTCTACCGAGGCCTGATTATACCACAATCTTTTTCCTCCATTTCTCCTTCTCATTATGATTTTGGGCACTCGTGTACATACCCTGATATGTTTTTCAAGCTGCCAAGGCTAGGATTTGAACTGCAACTGGCCATGTGTACAATGTACAGCTCTTAGCCCCTGCACTATGGGGCCAATCCTAAACTTGTTTCTATTCAGTGTATGACAATGCCAGACTATCTTATTAAAGGTAGAATTACATGAACAACCTGGATTTGGGCTTGGCGTCTAGGTTTTCAAAGATTTCCATGTTCAAAAGCTCATGAAAAAATTTACAGGTAATACTTAATGTTGGTGAGGTGCACAGTTTAAAAGCAGTACCTGCTACATTGTTGGTAGAAATATAAATTTAAAACAAGCTTTCAGGAAGACAATTTGGGAATAAATTTTATATACTGGCTTTGCCAATTGCTGTGTGATCTTGAGCATTTCTCACTTAAGCAAGTCGTAAGAAAACTAAGCTTAGGTTTCTTCATCTATACACGGGGCAAACTACTACTAGGTCATTAGGAAAGTCATGACATAACTTTTTCTATGTAAAAATGCATCATAACTTATCTAACAACACAATAATTTCTATCTCATAAAAATGTTATGAGAAAATACATCAGGCATAAGATAATAAAAAATGCTTGACAATTATAGTATTAGTTAGAATTACCAATTTCTGGATCCAGCAATTTGTGTGGTGGTTAAGGCACTGGACTCCCACATGGCTGACCATGGTTAGAGGCCTTTGCCCCAGTTGCTTGGAAATCATGCCAGAGGGACCAGCAGTTGGCATAATGGCTATGTTGCTGACTCTCATGTAGTTGACTGCAGTTTGAATCCGGGACCCGACGGCTTAAATTCACGCTGGGCACATGTGTGTGCATGCCCAAAACCCTGAGAGGAGAATGGAGGAGAAGGGATTGCAGCATGGCCATTCCCCCTGAGGGGTGATTTCTTGCTGTCTCTCTGTGTATAGCAAAAACCTGTTAAAAAAAAAAAAAAGAAAAGAAAAGAAAAAAAAAAAAGGAAATCACGCCAAATA